ACATATGTGTACGATAAAGAAAAACATCGGTTATGTTTTTTAATTCTTTTCATTCTCCCTAACTACCCCACATCACCCAGCACCAGCCATACTTTCTTCAAAGAATGAGATTCATGAATAAAAAATTAATATCCCTTTAAAGATAAAGTGCAATATACTCCTTCCTTCTCTCTCTCACTTTCTCTCTCTCTCTCATTATGAATTAAAAAGTAGCTTCGAAGTTGTATAATATATACGACAAACAACTAATTATGTATATGTAAAGTAACGAATTAAGAACGTTTTTTAAGCTGTATTTCAAGATGAAAATAAAATAGAAACGAAAGAGGAGTAATGAAAAATGATATGGTAGAATGAATTTATGGTAGTTACAGGTATAGGTTTCATTGTTCATTTCTTTCTCTTTCTCTCTCTCTCTCTCTCTCTCTCTCTCTCTCTCTCTCTCTCTCTCTTATTTCTTTTCCCTCTTTAACACCCACACAGCAGGTACATTCCCAAGGGAGTCCGGTTCTATGACTGATGCTTAGGACGACCTTGACACAGATTCTTCTATCCGGGTTCTCTCTCTCTCTCTCTTTTTTCCAAAAAATCTCTCGACCTTAAAACGTTACCTTATCTCTCTATATATACTTTATCGTATTTATTATTATAAAAGAAATATACATACGTAAAGTTAACGATAACGAAAGACCGACAACATTGAGATAAGAATAAAAAGATGATATTGTTATATTAAATCGAAATTATCTAAATGACCTTTCATCGTGCAATCACAGACAACATTCTTTAGTAAACATAAGTACAATAGATAACTAATATTGGTATGCGTAAACAAAGTCATTTTGAATCTGACGCAAAATATTCTATATTTCTCTTTTGTTGTTGTTGTTGTTTTCCCCCTTTATTTAGCTTTTTCTTTTTCTCTTACGTATAAATTTCATTCTTAAAGCGAGAAGAGGAACAGACAATAAGAAAAAAACAAAGTCGCGAATATTTCAAACGATCCTTTGTAAATATATCTAAAGAGAAAGAGAAAGATAGAGAGAGACAGAGATAGAAATATATATATATATATATATATATATATATAGATGGAAATAGATCGTAGAAAATACAAAAATAGAATCGCATTAGGGTGCGTGGGAGTTTAGAAACTCAAGGCCAAAGGGGGTACATATGAGTTAAAAAAAGAGCATGAGAGAAACGCTGAAACTCAAACCATTTGAAGATTTTCTAAGTGAAAACATATGTATATACATACACACACACATACAATAAATAATATATATATATACATATATATTACGTATATAACAAGTCGCTATCAAAGGAAAGAGATAAAATACGAACGAAGGCTAAGAGAGAAATAGGAGCACTGACATTCCAATAGCGTGTTCGCACTTTATACAGAAAAAAGAAAGAGATAAAGAGAGAGAAAGATTGAGTCAGAATAAGAGTGAGTGAGTGAGTGAGAGAGAGAGAGAGAGAGAGAGAGAGAGAGAGAAATAAAAAGAGATAGGGAGAATGCGTTGAGAGAAAACCTTGACGTTTTATTCCATTTCTTTTCCCCTATAAATAACTTTTTTCCAAATCGAATCTTCTTCCTCTGACCCAGTCTCTCTCTCTCTCACATAGACATACGAGCTTTAAACATAATCCAAGTAAGAATAACCATAGTGACATTTTTTTTATTTGTCCCATATATAACGGGAGGGAAAAGAGAAAAAAAAAAGAAAAAAAAATTGAATCCGGGAAATAACGAAGCAACGTAATAAACCCCAATTGTATTATTTTCGTAATCACGCGAATGAATAAAATTCTTTAAATGATCGATCGAATGATTCCATTTGTCTCAAACTTTCGATTTAAGCTACGTTACTATAATATACTATAGGGAAGAGGGGGAGGAGAAAGAGGGGAAGTGAGTAAAAGGTCTTTTCCTGCAAAAATAATAAACGCGAAATTAAAAAAAGTAAATTTCAAGCTACATTAGAAACGTCGAAATGATCAATTATTAAAGATTTGTTTTTGTTTCTTTTCTGTCTTTTTTCTTTTTTTTTTTTTTTTTTTTTTTTTGTTTGTTTTTCTGGACCCGGAATATAATCACGCACAATACATGTATCTAATAACGTGACTAATAAGATAAACAAGTATGTTACACAAACACAAATATTTGATTGGTAGTGGCTTTTGTTCGAAGAAAATTGCTGAATATTTATTTTTTCTTTTCTTTTTCTTTTGCGTGATATCAACAAAACGAAATCCTCCATTACGATTCGGAAACAATTTAATAGAGTGTTCTCGAAATGATAAAGAGCATGAAAAGTTTTCTCTGGTAATATTGATAAAAGGATCTTTTAGAACTGATATATATTAGTCAAAAAAAAAAAAGAAAAATGAAATAAATAAAAAAAAGAAAATCAAAATCGATTACAATGCGCTCGTACATTATATCAAAGTCCAATGAAATAAAGGCATATGTGTGTTATCAATTTTTACGTTTAAAGTCCAATTAAAATCTGATCATCAAATTGCATTTTAAACATCACAAGTGCTTCTAAGAAAAACAAATTAATTCTGATTAATAATCTTTTGCCTGAGGTATACCAAACGAATCCCCATTCATATCGCTCGAGTTATTGTGTCCATTCGTTGTGTTTTTTGTTTATCCTTTTTATTGTACCTACATATACATACATAGATACATACATAGCCAAATACATACTTATAAGATATGCTTACTCATACTCAATAATACAATGAACTATTTGAAAACTGATCTGTTATAAAACTCTAAGACACTTAATAGCACATGTTATTTTTTATTTCCTTTTTTTTTTCTTTGTTGTTGTTTTTTTTTTCTTCTTTGTTCCTTTTTCTATCTAAACTTGCTATAATTGTATCCCAATTAAAAATGGCATGACCTTTATTAAATATTTATAGATTATTCTATTACGAAAGGAAAAAAATTGTGCCGAACAAGAAAAAAAAAGAAGGAAAAAAAAAAGAATCAAGAAAAAGTAAAATAAAATGAACGATTGAATATAACGAACGATCTGTGAGAGAGAAAGAGAGGTCAGAGAAGGAGGAAGAGAAGGGAAAAAGAGGATCCTCGTTAGAAAATCCTGACTGGTATTTAAGCACAAGAAGAACTACAATCGGAATCGATCAAAACCGTACTATTCAAATGAACAAAAAATCGGATGAATGTTTTACGAATGACTTTCGAACGTGCTCGACGAGCGTTAATAAATATCGTCGTTAAAAAAAAAAGAAAAAAAAATCCTTTCCTTTTCCCTTTCCTGTCCATTAGATCAGTGGTTGTCAAAGTAAAGGAAGCATTAATACTTTTAAAAACACGATGATATATATCGTCGTGAGAACTAAAAAAGCAAAAAAAAATTCTATGGATATATACGTAATTCTATGGGATACGCTGAAGTTACAAATTGGAAGCTATCGTGACAATTAATTGCTCTTTAATTATAATATATTATTTTATATCACATTATTTTTATATTACAACTATATTGTTCGATCTATTGGGTTGGCAACTAAGTGATTGCGGATTTTGTCGATAGACTTTCATTTTTTTTATAAGAACATTTTTTTTTATAAGAATTAAAAAATAAAAGAAGTGAATAAGTTTAAAAAATAAAAAAAGAAAAAAAAGAAAAAGGAAAAAGGTCTATCCATATGCCTATCTTTATCTATGATTGAATTTTATTCTATCTAAGAAAAAAAATGTTCCTTAATCCAATCTCTATTATCTGTCTTATTTATCCTATTTAATAACAAGGAACGAACGAAGAATTATGGTTACAAAGGCCACGTCTTATAACGATGTATCTCTTAGAGCATTGGCATGCTAAGTCTCATTAAAGATTATCCTTATCATTGACATAACGTAGTTGAAAGATAATGAAAGAAAGAAAGAAAGAAAAAAAGAAAAAAAAAGAAAAAAAAAGAATGATCTTCGGGTCGACGTACTCTAATATTACGTTGTCAATGTATATAACTCTACGACTATTAACGCTATTACAATTCTTTTTCATTGTCAAGGGGATCATCGATCCCTAAACGATAAATCTATTTGTCATTATTACATAACCTAAAACTGGTTTATAAAATAATAATGAAGAAGAAGGAAAAAAAAAGAAAAGAAGAAGGAAAAAAAAAGAAGCAAATAAATAATATATTCAATAATAAATAATGAAAAATTATCGAAAGATTAATGCGATCTAAAAATGATATACAAATCGATAAGAGGTTATTGTCGTTGTTGTTCCGATTATCGAACGAAGTAAACGTCGGACAATTTCATCTTTACGTTACATTACGAGGAAATAAGGAGAGAGAGAGAGAGAGAGAGAGAGAGAGAGAGAGAGAGAGAGAGAGAGAGAGAGAGAGAGAGAGAGAAAGAGAAAGAGAAAGAACGGGAAAAAAACAAAGAAGAAAAAAAGAAAATAAACAGAAACGTTCAAGAAACGATCGGACGAGGAGAAGGGCGTGGTTTAATCAACGAACATTATGTTTCCTCTATCTGACCACTGGTAGTCAATAAAAAAAAAAAATAAAAAAAAAAAAGAAGGAAAATAAGCCGCAAAATATGATGCGATTAGATATATACACACACACATGTGTATATATATAAATGTATATATGTGTGAGTGTATGTGCGTGTACGTATATGTCTATCGATCGTGATCGTATGATCGTGTTTCGTTAATCTTTTATCTGCTCGGATATATTTCTCTATTTATTTATTTTTTTTCTTTTTTCGTCTAGATAAACACGATTTGTCGATTACTTTTCTAACATTTCCTTTTCTTTCATTAATACGAATATTACATCTTTATCTTCGTTCGTACTTTCCATTTGTTACAAGAAAATTATTCAACGAATATAGATCGATTAGAAAATTAATATAATAAAAAGAAAAGGAAGAAAGAGAGAAAGAAAGAAAGAAAGAGAGAGAAAAAAATAAAACATGGACTTACTTCGGTCGCCAGCTTCCCTTTCGACGCCATCTTGACAACAACGATGGTCGTCGAGCAAAGATATTGTCGACTACCTGCTCCACGCGACGTACACACTCCCCTCTTTTTTCTGGTATTCTTCCTCTAATATCTTCCTCACTCTTTTTCTCTCTCACTCTCACTCTCACTCTTCCTGTCTCTTTCTCTCTCTCTCTTTCTCTTTTTCTCTCTTTCTCTAGTTTTGTCCTTTTTTACCTATTTTCAAAACCCTTGCGATTTAGTAAACGTCTACGATCTTTTTTTAATTGCACAGGACGAAACACCTGTTGAAGCACTTATGAAAAGAGACAGACAGACAGACAGAAATACAAAGAACTACAAAGAAAGAGAGAGAGAGAGAGAGACAGAGAAATAGAGAGAAAAAAAAGAAAAAGTACTGCCTTCTCTTCTAATTATTCTTTATTCTTCTACTTCTTCTTCTCCTTCTTCTTCTTCTTCTGCTTTACTTTCTCACTCGATCGCCATTAAACATTATTAACACACACACGAGAACAACACTTATCTGGCCGAATCTTATTTAGTTAAAAACCTCACAATAATCTCGAATATCCGAAAAATGAAATAAGTTTTTCTCTTTCGTAGATTTGACGATGACGATACGATTCACACACGCACGCCACGTGTTGACGTCAAGCCAGAGACCTTTTATAAACGATACTACAAAGAGGACGAAGATATCTCGAGATACTGAGCACTATCGTTCCCCCACCATTATAATACCTTACTCGTTTTTAACGGACCGGCGGCAACACGCACTAAGTCCCTCTTTTCGTTCTGACTCGACTATCTTCGGTTCGATTCGGTACGACTCGACTCCGATCGCCGATTCTAATAGGACGATGTACTTTCCCCCTTAGCCCCACTACATCCCTACAGATCCCACATAACCTATCGCTATTTCGCGCTTTCACTCATAGAAATTGGAGACCGCGCCGGCGCACTCGCGCCATCTCGCGCTAAATACTTTATTCACCATTGGCACGTTACGATATTCAAATTTGATATAAATATATATGTGTATATATATATATATATTTTTAAATAATAAAACACACACGCGTACACACATACACACACACATATATATATATGTAGATCGTCTAACAATGGATTACGTTTATATTTTATTTAATGATTATATATATATATATATATATATATATATATATATATATATATATATATATTCGATGAAATATCCACGATTATGCTAAAATAATTCTAAATTTAAATAATGATATTGGACTGTTATACAAAAAAATTCTTTTAGAAAAGAAAATATCTTTTCTTCTTGTTTGTTTAATATATATATATATATATCGAGTATAAATATTTTATAAACATGAACAATGATGAATTTAATGTTAGATTCAGACTAATGATGTACCTTATCCACCATGATTATTGGACAAGAAAAGTTGGTCGTCCTTTTTGCTCTCTGTCTTTTTATCTCTCTTTTTCTCTCTTTCTTTCTCTTTCTTTCACTCGTTAGGAGAATCCGTTTTAATTTACGGCAAATTAACCTCCTCGAAGACTTATGCCCTCGTTGATCCCTACCATTTGATCCTACCAAAGAGACTTACAGATCTCTACACGAAATTTTCAAACAGAACAAAAAGATTGAGTGCAAAGAATATATATATATATATATATATATATATATATATATATATATATATATGTGTGTGTATATAAAAACGAATTATCTTAATTCTTTTTTTTATAAAACTACAATACTTCGATTTTTATCGTTTAACCGTCGGAACCGTTTCATTCGGCAACTATCGACTATTCTCGAATCAATTCGGTAACCTTACTTACGACGTATATCAAGTTATAAATTAATCGAAATATTTTCCGAAATATAAATCAATGGAAATACTTCTATATTTTCTATCGTAAATAAGTGTCTCGTTTTTTATTTTGTTTTTTTTTCTTTTTATCGCGTGAGTCCATAAATAAATTATCTGTCATAGGTGAGAAAAAAAGTTAAAAATTTTTTCGCGCGTAAAAGACGTACACAGAGAAATAGAGATAGAGATATAGAAAGAGAGAGAGAGAGAGAGAGATTGAGAAAAAGAGAAAGAGGAAAAATCCATCCATCGTTGTCATCCATCTTCGTTCCAGGTTTTTTGTTAAATTTTTTTATCTTTCTTTCTATATCTTTTTTTCTCGGTCCATTAAACGTGTAGTACCTCTTACGCTTCCGGTATTTTCTAGTTATTTTTTTGTTTATTTCTCTCTCTCTCTCTCTCTCCCTCTTTTTCTCTTTTTCTCTCTCACATTTCAGTTGTACATTTTTGGTTTCGTATTTGGTACCACTTTATAAACGTTAAGGCATCTTTATTGATGTCGTCGATATATCAATGGAATTTTTATTGTGCAAATACGTGCGTTATAAAACGAAAAGTATGGAGAAATAAGAGAAAGAGAGAGAAAGTGAATAAAGAGAGAGAGAGAGAGAGGGAAAACGAAAGAGAAAAAAAAGAGGACGAGAGAAGGAAAAAGAATGAAAAAGGAGAGAGAGAGAGAGAGAGAAAAGAAGAAAATGGTAGGTCTCTGTGGAGGTTTGTTTGAGCCAGTAAATCCATTTGGAGAGCTCGTGTCCAAGCTGACAAGAACGGAAAGGAATAGATAGATACTGTAGTAGACCTATCGTTCTAGTTCGAACGTTCAAAACTTCGCTCGTTATCCTCGATGTATGACGCCTACAATATGAACGGTAACTATGTTCACATGTATACATACATACACACATACATATATATATATATATAAATATTATATGCTACGTGCATCCGTCTCTATGGTATCCAACTGCATGTATGGTTCTATGTGTATTCATCTACATTTAATGGGCCTGTGTGTATTCAACTATGTATGAGTCTCTCCGTATGTATGTATGTGTGTGTGTATCCTATATATATTAAACTTATTTGTAATGCGTCTATGTGTATTATACCTTAGTATGTATATGCCCATCCTGCTAAAGATATGTATATGCATAGTACGAACACGACGAATGCAGTTGCATCGTGCATCGTCAATGTTCCCCCCTGTAACAGGAGTTTGTTCTCGGCGAACGTCATCGAATCGAAATAATGTCAAGGACGAACCATAGTAACCAATCGTTACCAACGAACAAATTTGTAAACCTTTCTTCGTTCATGCAGAAAATACGCATTCTCGTTTGGATAATAAAAGAAATAACATACATGTATGCATTCATGTACGACGTACGTATGCATTATAAAAGGAAATAGAGATTATGTTGTTAAATCGATTAAAAGGACATGTCAACAATTTATCCACTTTGATAAATCATAATTATTAATTTTATTTTCTATTCTATTAATCTTTCTATTGATCGTATTTCTTTTTAGTTACGAAATAGATATTTATATCGATCCTAAAATGCAATGCATCTTGGTAAATCGAATCTATTGGAGATAAATGAAAATATGCGTGAATAACTTATGTATATATACCTGCATACATATATACATATATAAATATATATATACATACATAAATATATATGGATCCATACATATATACATGAATACATACATATATATATATGGTATTAAGACGATGTTGAGCGGACGTTGAAATAGATTACATTGATCTAAAATGAAATACATACATACATATGCGAAAAGTCGATAAAACTAGCCACTGGATTTCCTGACTTAGCTCTACGAATAAATCAAAATCTGTCAGGTTCAACGATTCGAATCTGCAATACGTAGATATATTTCATACATTTTTCAAATTGACGATATTTTAGTAATAGATTTTTCTTTTCCTTTTCTTTTTTCTTTTTTCTTTCATCATCGATAATCGACGTTCTTAAAGAATAAAGAAAAATAAATGAAATTGTTTAAGTACTTTCTTGAAATTATATATATATATATATATATATATATATATATATATATATATATATATATATTTAAAAGTCTCTATTCGATAATATTTAAAGTTAGATATTTAAACGAATGAAAAGAGCTAAGATATTAAGGGGATGAAGAAGAGGAGGAGGAAGTAAACTAGGTGAGGGATGAAGTGGGGTGGAGATGGAGGAAACGACATCAGTTTCTTTATAAAATCGCTCGTAAATCTACGGATAACAATAGCTACGTTGTAAAATGTCGAGAAACAATAGCAATACCTTCGTGATAGACCGAGTTTCAATAAAATCATAGTTATTCTAATCCCGATAATGGCCGTAAATTATTTCATGGAAAATACATTAACTTTTCTTTATTTAAAACAAAATCCATGGAATATGTCGCGTACGTGATGAGGAAAATGAGAGATGGGGAGAGATACATTTCCCATTGTTAAAAGTATTCTGAAAAAAAAAAGGAAAAAAAAAATATATAATAATAGAAGATTCAATGATAATATTATTTCAATTAAAATTAGAAAAATTCTTATTGCATCTAAATGAATTAATAAATAAATATCCTTTTTGATCTAATAATAATAATAATAATCATAATAATAACAATAATCATAATAATAATAATGATCTAACTATTAGTTTCATGTTTGTAATGTCTGTTTTAGTAACAAAATACGAATTTAGATGTAGAATACGAAGTTATTGGATTTGTTATAGCCATATCTTCTTGAACTATGATGATTAATGTCATAATGCCTTTTGTTAATCGAAGAAAGAGAGAAAGAGAATCTTCATACTATGTCGCACAATACCAGTCTTTGATTTTAACACAATTTGCTGAAGTTGTTCGCAACGGTGGTTGGTTCAATGTCGTTGCTAGATATCCCTCTAAAGCTGGGCGACCGGGCCGATCGATGTGCAGGGATGTGGGTCAGGCATACGCCCGAACCCCCAGGATTTTCATCTCGCTCCTTTCTCCAATGGTACATGTGTACCTAAACGTATCCCTTTTTAATTCGCTCTTATTTATAACTTATGATCCTCCCTTATCATTTCCTTCCTTTTCTTTCTTTTCCTTTGCTCGTCCTTTCCTTTTCCTTTTTTTTTCTTTTGCATTTTTTCTTTTTCGCTTCCTACCTTCCTTCCTTCTTTTCTCTTTTTTTTTTTTTTTTACGTCAACACGTCTATTTTCAGGTCATGATGACAACGATGATATAAAGAGAAAAAAAAAGAAAAAGATGAAGAAGATAATCGTAAAGGAAATCTTATTTGTCGTTATCGGCGATATCGAATTATTTGAATTATTATCTGATTAAGGGATTAATTCCTTTTTTATCTTTTTTCTTTTTTTTTTTACTTTTTTTTTTTTTCGGAAAAAATGGCCGAGAGCGCAAACGAACAAGAAGGAAAAGGAAAGAGCAAGGAAACAATTGAAAGGGGGGGAAATATGATTGTACACGCGTTAATTCGAATTAATAATATTTATAGGATGTTATTTCAATACGAATTAAATTACAATAGATTTTCCCAGTGAAAAATGAGAGAGACTATTAAAATCGAAAAATATATCTAGTCCTTTTCTCCTAGCTGTTTCCTTCCTCTCTCTGCTGAATCGATCCGTGACACATATGTATGCATGTGTGCATGTACGTATGTATGTATGTATGCATGTATGCATTCATGTACGGCTGTCTCACTGAACAATATCGTATCACATTCTCGATGAATTTTAACGATTAAATTGCATACAACTATTTCTCATATATGACTAATTCGTTATTTTGATCATTAACGTATAACAATAATAATTATTACAACAACAATACTAATAATAATAATAATAATAATAATAATAATAATAATAATAATAATAATAATAGTTAGTAAGCTTAATTATACGTATAAAAAACATTATCAATAATTCTGATTTGGCTTGATTTTTCCTTCAATTATAAAGCAAACTTGGGCATTCTTATTTTCGTCGAGAAGAGAGAATTCAACTTCCAATCTTATATTTGGATAGCTTTTCAAGATAGACATTGTTAATGCATAAGTGACCAATTCTCCTTTTTCCAAAGGACATTCGGAATTTATTAAATCCTCGCATGCATCTGGATGTGGATATTCAAAATCCGTAGTAATACCCAATACCGTTAATTTAACTTGTGGTTTTAAGGTAGCAGTATCGGCAGCTATAAACAGTGTGTATGTATGTATATATGTATATATATATATATATATATATATATATATATATATATATATATATATAAACGAAATAGAGATAACTTATAAATCAGATCGTTAAAATATTGATTTTATATCGATAATAACTAGTTATTAATTAATTAATTAATAATTACGATTAATACTTATTATTGATACTCACTAACTACAAAATCCCATTGCGCTTTTAAATCAGTACCTTTGACAAATAAACAAGGTAATTTATCACAACCTTCGATTTTTAAGTTACTAGGTTCAGGTAATCCACCCTCGCATTTACGATATTCAGTTTGCACGGACGAGCCAATGTAAAATGCAAGCAAAATGTAAACTGTACAATAAATATGAGAATGAAAATGAATGTTTTATCAACGTTATAAATAAATAAATAAACAAAATATATACATATATATATATTTATATATGATTTAATTTGTTTAACAATGAAAATAATTATGGAATAAAATTTAATCAATATGAGATTTACCAAAAGTGAGAAGAGCCATTGTGATGAATTTGACGAATATGATTTCTCGTTGAATGATTACAATCCTTAACCAAGACAGTATTTATTGCTCCCTAATATCTAATCAAAGACCTGTTTACAAAAAGATAAACTCTCATTCGTTTCAAACACTTGAAATACCCACCTGTGCTTGAGCAGCTGTGAACATTTTTATTGACATAAAGAACATTTTATCTAATAAATCCACGAGGATGTATCAATGAATCTTATTGACAAAAGTAATTAATTATTTACGTAATAGTCATTCTATTGTTCTTATATATATATATATATATATATATATATATATATATATTATACCTTATATATATATATATAATATATATATATATATATTATACCTGTAATAGTATACTTGAAAAAGAAATTATAAAAAAAGAGAAAATAAAAATAAAGAAAATAAAAAAGAACATAAAATTGCAGCTAATTGTTGCGTTAAAAAAAAAAAAGATGCAAATATATACAGCGAACATACGTTTTATTTAAGAAAAATTCAATCTGTTAAAATAATGAAGATATGTACACATACACATTTATATACATATATATATATATATATATATATATATATATATATATTTCTATGAAAAATATAGACGAACAATTTATTGGAATAAAAAATAAAAAGAAAAGGAAAGATACTTTCTCTTTCGTATGCTATAAATCTTTTTCTAACAAACTAAAATCCTTAGCGATCTGTTCAAAAATCGGGCCCTTTGAACTATCGACCTCAAACCCCTTATCAATATTCTTTTCTTTCCAATTCGGTAATTTTACAAATGACTCGGTCAATCGATCACGTATGTAATAGGGTGTGATTTTAAATAATGTATAATAGAAACAATATCTCCAAGGCTCGCATCTGTAAAGATAATAATTGAAAAGATAATTCCATCTTTAAATGTTCCATATGGAAAAAAAAAAAAAAAAAAAAAAAGATATTTTATCGATATCTATATAAATTCTTCAAAAATTTTACGAGACAATACTTTAATTATTAACTTTCAATCGAGTGCTTGTCCCATTTAATTCCATCTTCGAATCAACACCATCTGAAGTGTCGTTTATCAAATAACAAGTAACGATCAAAGGTCATATCTCGTTTAACTTTTTTTAAAAGAAAGAAAATATCGTTACACTATGTATACAAAACGCGTTATAAAAAAAACAAAAAAAAAAAGAAGAAAAAAAAAATTATTACAAGACTCACTTATAAACCGACGAGGGATAACTGTCCAATAATGCTCCCTCGAATTTTTCATAAATCCTTGGATTCTCGACGGCTTTGGGCGTGACCTTACAAGCCAATGGTTCAAAATATTTCGCATATCGATCAAAATAATCCTTATAGAAATACCTCGCATCTAATGTCATAGATTCTTTCATTGCATCGAAACATTCCGATTGTTTGGCCAAAATGTTACTCTCTTGGGTGAAGGATCCTACGGGGGAAAAAAAAAGAAGGAAAAAAAAATTGATAAATAAATAAATAAACAAAATAAAAAGGAATAATAAACGTAGATAAACAATAAAGGCAGATATAGAACGAATGAAAAACGACGCAACTTTGTTGTTGGTACAATTGAAACAAAAAAAAAAAAAGAAAGAAAGAAAGAAAGAAAGAAAAATGATAAGATAAGCAGGTGTTAATCTTCTTCTTTCATTTTCTTTTTTTTTCTTTTTTTTTTTTTTTTTTTTTTTTTTTTTTTTTTTTTTTTTTTTTTTTCAAGAAAAAAAAAAGTGAGAAAAAGAAAAAGAAAAAAATGTAACAGACCAGGTACAAAGGTAACAACGTCGATGCCATATTTCTTTAATTCTACCCTGATGGCCGTGGCCCAAGCATTGATCGCGGCCTTTGTCGCGCTGTAGGCCGCTACTCCGGGTAATGGTTCGCTCGCGCAATGGCTCGAGACAACGACAATCCTTGTTGAATCCCTTCGGATGAGCGGCATCAATTGATGTGTGATCTTCATCGTTCCAAGAAAATTCACCTCCAATTGATGTTTCATCTGATCCTTGGTTTGCCATTCGAATTCGCCGAATATCATAACGCCCGCATTGTTCACCAACGCTTTCAAAGCTGAAACGAAGAGGAAAAAGAAAAAAAAAAAGAAAAAAAATGGGAGGTGGCGGGGTGAAAAAAAATTGTAAAGAAAAACGAAAAGAATAAGAAGGATTAAAAAAAAAACGTACGCATGCGCGTACGTCATCTTTCTTACGTAATCCTCGACAAGAGAGAGAGAAAAAAGAAAAACAAATGTATGAAATTTACTATATCTCTTTTTGTTGAGTAATAGGCGTACGTCACCGTAAAATTGTTCAATACTCTTTTCGTTTGTAATATCGAGTGGTAATACAATGATTCCCGTCTTCTTTAATAATTCAGCACCCTGACCGTTCTCGTCTAAAACGCTGGCTATAACGGTGGCACCAAGAAATTGACAATGCAATGCTAAACTATAACCAAGTCCTGAATCACATCCTGTAACTATAACAACCTTATTCGTATTGAGCATATGACGAGACCCATAATGTTTCTGTAAACATGCGCTACCTGTTGATAAAAAATTTACATATATTATTTTAATCAATGTGTTTCTATATACATATATACATATATTTTTTTAATTATTAAACAATCGGTAGAATCAATACAAATTTTGATAGAAATCCTATATGAAACTGATAACACTTCATTAATCACATTTAATTTTATGAAATACCAAAAAAAAAAAAAAAAAAAAGAAATAAAAACTACCGAATCATATATTTCAATTATAATTATATATCATATCATTAATTCAAAAATATTCGTTCATTAGAAATATTAATTTTTTTTGGTACTTTTTTTTTTTAAACGTATTATTCGATCGTTTAATGATTAATATTTGTTTCGATGATAATCAATATCTGGCATTGATTAATGGTCTTTCGTTCTTTCGTAGATTTTCTTCCTTTTTTCTTTTTTTTATTTATTTTTTTTTCTTTTTTTATTTTTTCTACTACGTAGATCAGCCTAAATCAGTCTGACAATAATAAATATGATTTCAAAGTGTTATACTGTTTCAAAAGGAATCAATAATATTTCTAATATAATATTTAATCATATTTAATCGAATCATATCAAAATAACACACACACGCACAGACACAGACATATATATATATATATATATATATATATATATATATATATATTCTATATACCGTTAACCTTAATGAAAATTCAAAGTACAAAGGCATAGCTCACCAAAGGAACACAATGAAATCAAGGTAGCCAACCGTTTATTCGTGGTGTAACAGGAATACAATAACCCAGCCGTACTGGTAGCACCGGCGATCAATATCATCGAATGTTTCCTGACCCAAGCTGACAAACCCATTTTCAATTTGGCGCGTGTTTATGTTCCACGAAGTAACAACTTCCGGAAAAAGCTTCTTTCCTTTCCGTTCAATCTTCTCTACTTATGTTTCTTTTTTTCTTTTTGTTGTTTTACCGTTTATCTTTCTACTTGTAATATCTATCGTAAAAATCAGCTCATGGATTCTGAAAATAAAAAGAAGAAAGAAAATAAATGAAAAAAAAAAAATAAAAATAAAAAAAGAAAAGAAAAAAGAATGAACCGTCAGAGATTTGAAATAATGAATAGTAAATAATAAACAACAACAGTAATAATAATAATAATAATAATAATAATAATAACAACAGTCTTTTTCATTCCTTACAACGAAAAAGAAAACGATATGAAAAAGTGTTGTCTGCATGAAAAAGAAAACAAACTTGAAGTAACCAGGTTGTAACTTGAATGAGAGTATACTATTACACTTTAGAAAGGTCTTAATAAACTATGAAAAGACGTAGTTATATATAGATCGTGGAAAATAAAGATTCCATAAGTTTTCATAATAAATGAAAAACGTCGTATACCTTTGTAACCTTTTAACGAAACGAGCACGCATCGATCGATCGTTCACGCATGCGCGAAAGACATTCTCTGAGATCTCCAAATAATCAATGAACAATGATTTCAAACTTGTATCCGTCTTCGTTCCAATTCTATAAGGCCATACATAAAATGAAAGATAAAAAGAAAGTAAAATCGATTATCCCCACTCTACTTACGTTACTTTGAACATTCTTTTTTCAAAATATATACATACGAGAGCTACGGAGAACGAGAAGGCACGTCCGCCATGATCCAACACGGCTATGACGCGCTATTTTTGAATTCAAATTACCTCACCTTCGACTTCCGTTTCGTCGTTATAAGATGTCCTGTATAAATCGTGTGCTATATACGTTTCTCGAAGTTAAAAATGACTTTCTCTGTTCTTTTTTTTTTCTATTCTTTTTCTTTTTCTTTTTTTTCTTCTTCTCTTTTTCACTCGATCAAAATAAATCTTTTTAGATCGTGGATCGGACCCGGAGACGAATAAATCGATATTGTGACCGATACTCCGATGTAACTTCGCACAATAACTACGATCTACAAGCATCCCTGCCATTATGTATAATTCATTTATGTAAATGGGCGAGATCTCTTACAAAGAATTTTCCATGATGTATTTGAATAAGATTTTACTTGCAATGAGGCAAGAAACTTATGACAAAATTTCTCTCTCCTTCTCTCTCTTTCTCTCTCTCGCTCTCTACGTTTCTCTTATAATTTCTTTCTAACAATATATAATGATATTACAGATGGAGTGGTGTACTGGTATAATGATAAATATAATCAAATATTAATCCTTCGTAGATATTATCATTTGATATTTTATAAATTCGTACAATTTTCGTTTAATTAACTGAAATATACAACTTAATCGTACAGCCTAAATTACATAAAAATCAACAAACGTTAGAGCTAGGAGTATACTGTACACAGTTTCATACACTTGCACATTTCTTTCGTGTACATAATATTCGCTTTTTATATTTTATAATATTTTCTTATATATGCCTCTCTCCCCCCCTTTCTCTCCCTCTCTCTCTCTCTCTCTCTCTCTCTCTCTCTCTCTCTCTCTCTCTCTCCCTCTCTCTCTCTCATTAGCTTTATTTTCTCATACTTCCACATAGTCTTTATTATTTGTGTTATGACTTATACCATATTCGCATATTTCTATTTATTACATACCAAACTTTTCATCTTGAACCTTAACATGTGGATTAACTAGTACACTGTAACTTGGATCTCCTTCGGTAGACATTCTTCCTAACCAAGAAAGAAGGACGAGAATGATACAGAACGCTGTTATACCAGCAAAGATTAGCATGACGTATCTCTTGTGTATAGAACCTGTTGTACTCCTTCGTCTTACGGGTGGCCTTGAAATTAATTTCCACCACCTTAAGAACCATTCAATAGCTGACTTTCTTTGATATTTATTTTCATCGTGATCGAAAGTCATATCTTTCGGGTCATCGTAAGCTTCACATACTTTTTTTGACATTTGATTAGTCAGTGACATGGACGTTTCTATATTTACTACAGAATATGGTGGCCCGACTTTTTGATTGTTTAAATGATCATTACTTATATTAGAATTGATGGAACTAACGTTACTATTATTACGAGGTGTGACTACAGTAGGTGCAGAAGTGGTCATAGTATGATTGTGATAGGAATATGTTTCCAAAGCCGATGAAACATGTTCCGGTTCTGGTTTTTGTTCTCTGTCTTCGCTGAGCTATAAAATAGAAAATAAATTATTAAATATATTTACGTGAATATCTTATTCATACAATTATATAAAATATTTACCAATGGTAAGCCTAAGCCAGCACGTGCCCAATTGACACCTGCTAATTTTTCTCTTAAAACGTCCGCTACCGGTGATACTAATTTCGGTTGTGGAAAAATGCAAGTTCTGCAAGATGGACAAGTATAACCAGCTGGTGCTGTTGTGGCAGGTAATTCTCTAGCATATCTGTCTAGACATGCCCAATGATACATGTGATAACAAGTTAATCGAACACAATCTCCATCGCTTAAATTTCCAGAACATAATATACAAACTGGACTGTAGTCATGATCATGAAGCCATAAAAGATATGATTGCACTATACACTGTAAAATATAATATAACGTGTCATTGAATTAAATCAATACAATGATAAAATAAAATTAAATTATGTCAAATCCAATGTAATTTTGTATACCTAACCTATAAACGAATTTATCGTTAATAAATATATTTGTTGCAATCTCTTAAATCGTAAACAAATATTATTTTTATTAACATACCTTTGGATGATTAGTAACCATACAATGTTCGCAAACATTGACGCGATGTTCAAAACAAAACTGGGTTGTTACTATTCGTTTTGGACACTTGCACAAACCCATATTGGATTAATATGATATATGATCACCAATATCGTAAAATATTTTTCGATTTCAACTTCTATTAAGAAATCTAATAATAAACAATTATTACATCTAATTAACTGTTTGGTATCTATGAATCACACAATAATTTCTTCTGTATTATTTAAGAAAGCCACCATATTTTGTCGGCCACGTCGTCTGACATTTCGTGTATCATTAGAAAAGAATGGACCAATAGGAACGTTTCCTATAAATCTTCGTCCAATAGCAACGCTTTCTCCTGTTTATTAAATTTTATATTTTTAATTAATTTATATTAATTGTTCTTTTTTATGTACATCAAAAAATAAAATAATTTTGCTTCGTACAACGTTGATATCTCATCCATTTAAAGTTTCATAATCGTATCGTTGTAAACAATTTTTCAAAATGGCCACGCTTGGTCGTCTTGTGTCACAAATTAGAAAAAGTTTTATCGTTACAAATTATAATAGAGCAATATCATTATCTGCGACAGCACGCATTAAAGAAAGTAAGTAAAATTATTTATACGTAAAAATTTTTTATCAGACAATTTATTAATTTCTTTTCAAATCTATATAATATTGCCATAACCTATATCTTTATTATGTTGTTTATAATATAAACATTTTCTGTTTTAGTAATCGAAAAAAAGGATGGAAATAATATAATTATTGAATCTGTTATATGTCCTAGAAAAGATGAACACTTATTGATGAAATTTAAAGAAGGAGCTTGTCCTATATGTTCCATCGGTCTTGATGTTAAATATACTGTAAAATAAATATTTTCTTTTAATAACTTTTAAAATTAATAACCACTTTCTTATGAATTATGTATATTATCCTGCAACTATAATTATGAAAATTAATTGCTTACAGGATGTTCTCATATTAAGTCAATTTGTTAGATCAGATGGATGTATGTTACCACGTAGGATTACTGGTTTATGTAAAACGCAACAAAAAAGAATAACTACTATGGTTGCTATGGCACAGAAAGCAGGTAATTATAAAGGGTTTACAATGAAGAATTAATATTTTGTGGGGATAATTTAATTAATCGTTACATTAAAATGTTGCAGGTTTAATGTCTAATTTAACTCCGGCAGGAAGTAAAAAAGATCCTACAAAAAGATATTACTGGAAAAAATTTAACACATATTACGATGAGAAAACTATTAAATATAAATATCTATAATTGTTAATATTATATAAATATCAAGAGACATATAAATATTTTAATCTGAAATGTACAAAATCATATATCAAAATTTATCTTATTAAACTTTCCAATCGTAATAATTACGAATTCGTAATAATTAACATTTAATAAAATATATAACTTATACATAGATATATGTACAATTTATTTATTATATTGGGTTGGCAACTAAGTGATTGCGGATTACACCTTCCGTTGGCAACTAAGTCATTGCGGAAACAGAATCCGCAATCACTTAGTTGCCAAGATAATATCCCGTTGGCAACTAAGTCATTGCGGAAACAGAATCCGCAATCACTTAGTTGCCAAGATAATATCCCGTTGGCAACTAAGTCATTGCGGAAACAGAATCCGCAATCACTTAGTTGCCAACCCCGCAATCACTTAGTTGCCAATCCCGCAATCACTTAGTTGCCAACCCCGCAATCACTTAGTTGCCAATCCCGCAATCACTTAGTTGCCAATCCCGCAATCACTTAGTTGCCAACTCCGCAATCACTTAGTTGCCAACCCCGCAATCACTTAGTTGCCAACCCCGCAATCACTTAGTTGCCAACGTCATATTGTTTTGGCAACTAAGTCGTTGCGGTGACCATATACGCAATCACTTAGTTGCCAACGCCATATTGTTTTGGCAACTAAGTCGTTGCGGTGACCATATCCGCAATCACTTAGTTGCCAATCCCGCAATCACTTAGTTGCCAACCCCGCAATCACTTAGTTGCCAATCCCGCAATCACTTAGTTGCCAATCCCGCAATCACTTAGTTGCCAACTCCGCAATCACTTAGTTGCCAATCCCGCAATCACTTAGTTGCCAACCCCGCAATCACTTAGTTGCCAACGTCATATTGTTTTGGCAACTAAGTCGTTGCGGTGACCATATACGCAATCACTTAGTTGCCAACGCCATATTGTTTTGGCAACTAAGTCGTTGCGGTGACCATATCCGCAATCACTTAGTTGCCAACCCCGCAATCACTTAGTTGCCAATCCCGCAATCACTTAGTTGCCAACCCCGCAATCACTTAGTTGCCAACCCCGCAATCACTTAGTTGCCAACCCCGCAATCACTTAGTTGCCAATCCCGCAATCACTTAGTTGCCAACCCCGCAATCACTTAGTTGCCAACCCCGCAATCACTTAGTTGCCAACGCTAATCCGCAATCATTTAGTTGCCAAAGCGCATCCGCAATCACTTAGTCGCCAATCTAATAATTATAATATATTTATTATAGGAAAATAATACATGCCATATAAAGGTTCATTTAACATTCTTTGCGATAGAGAGCATTACGTACGAATGTACATATGTCATATGAACGTAACCTATAAAAACGTAGCAAGGACGTAGAATTAAAAAAAGAAAGAAAAACGTATATTTTATAATTTAATAATGATAAATCTTTGATAATTAAACAACAATCAGAAATTAAATGTTCATGCATATATAGCTACGAAATTATTTACGGTGTTGATTATTGTAGGTTAGAATCGTTCATAACGTTTAGTTAAAACAATGTTACAACGTAAACTAATAAAAAAAACATGGTGCGAGCTACGTAAACAATATATACACAGTACAAAGTGTTTGAATACAAATTCTGAGAAACACGATGTTAAAAAAATACGAAATATTGGAATATTGGCACACATCGATGCCGGTTAATATACTTTTTTATTTTTTTTTCTATATTCTATTAAATATAACAAACAAAAACTTTGTATGTTATTTTGTTATAGGTAAAACAACAACAACCGAACGAATGTTATTTTACTCTGGACTTATTAAAAATATGGGAGAAGTACATCATGGGAATACGGTGACAGATTATATGGAACAAGAACGTCAACGTGGTATAACAATAACTTCTGCAGCCGTAACATTTAATTGGAAAAAGTATCGTTTTAATTTAATTGATACACCAGGACACATTGATTTTACTATGGAAGTGGAACAAGCATTACGTGTTATGGATGGTGTGGTGATTATATTAGATGGATCAGCTGGTGTGGAAGCACAGACATTAACAGTTTACAAACAGGCAGATAAATACGAGATACCCAAAATCATTTATGTTAATAAAATGGATCGCCCGGATGCAGACTTTGAAAAAAGTTTAAAATCCATAGAATTAAAATTAAATACCAATGCATTGCCAATACAATATCCTATAAAAAAGGGAGACGTTTTTGAAGGTATAATAGACATTGTAAGCTTAGAGAAAATAATATTTAATAAGAAGAGTCAAGGATTAGATTTCATAAGAAAAAAATTAACGCAAAACGATGACAATGATTTATGGAATATAGCGAATGAAAAACGTGAAATGTTGCTAGATAAGTTATCAAATTTGGATGACAAATTAGCCGAAGTAATAATAGAAGAAGAATCACTCGATAAAATAACTGATCAGGCAATATGCGAATCCTTAAGAAAAATTACATTATCAAGAAATGGTGTGCCAGTTCTTATAGGTAGTTCTTATAAAAACATTGGTGTACAACCTTTAATGGATAGTATTGTATTATATTTGCCATTTCCAAATGAATACAGAAATGACTATCGTTGTTTCAACAATAATTTATCCGCGCGTGTTTTTAAAATTATACATGATAAACAAAGAGGACCTATCACTTTTTTTAGAATTTATACTGGTACTATGAAGAAAGGTGAAAAAATATATAATGTTCAAAAAGGAAAGGTAGAACAAATTAGTCGTTTATATATTGCCTGTGCTGATGAATATAAAGAAATTAATGAAATTAATAATGGTAATATTGCAGCAGTTGCTGGATTACAAACTACTGTTACCGGTGATTTGATAACTAATAGCGCATCAGTAATGAAACATGCCCAAAGAAATATGAATGAATATAAATCTACTGAAGTGGCTGAAAGAAAATTAGATAATATTTTTACATCTGGTACTAATATACCAGATCCTGTCTTCTTTTGTTCTATAGAACCACCTTCTCTATCGAAACAGGTAGCTTTAGAAATTGCATTGCAAGAACTTGGAAGAGAAGATCCTAGCTTAAGAATAAAGCAAGACGAAGAGACTGGTCAAACGGTGTTAGCTGGAATGGGAGAATTGCACATTGAAATTATTAAAGAAAGAATTAGAACGGAATATAAAATTGATGCCGATGTAGGTCCTTTGCAAATAGCTTATAAAGAAGCTATAACAGAAATGATCAAAGACACATTCTCTAATGAGTACAAAATAGGCAAAACTTTTCATAGTGTTACCATAACTTTGTCCTTAATACCAAATTACAAGCAAAAAGAAATTTTACAATTTGATCATACGAAAGAATCTGCTTCTAATATCGACGATATACATCCAAAGACGATAGCTGCCATAAAAAAGGGCATAAAACTTGCCCTTAAAAGTGGTCCAAAATTAAATTCTCCAGTTATAGACACCGGAATTAAGCTCCATTGGTTAGAGATAAGAAAGGGTACATCAGATACTATAGTTTCTGCTGCTGTTACACAATGTATTAAACAAGTGAGTATGAATTTTTTAATAATTTTATTGCAAAATCAACGAGATTTTAGTCTTTTCTTTTTTTTTGAACATTCTTTTGAACATCAGTGATTTTCATTACATTATTGTTGATTTTTTGTGATATTGGAAATATAAAATTAGAATTGTTCTTATAAGAAATACTTTGAACGTCTGACATATCGTTTTCTGTTATATCATTAGTTTTTAAATAATGCTTTCCTTCATAAAGATACCTATACGTCCATTTTTCATCCAAGTTATTAGACTTTAAAATATATTTTTGTTGCTGATTATTAAATGTTTCATTATATTCTTTTTGCATGTCTAGAGATATTGGGATATTAGATGTATCTTTGGTTTCTTCTATTAATTTATTCCAATTAGACAATTTAATATCATTCCATTTCTCTTTTTTTTGCGATTTATTAATATGCATTGGTACAACATATGATTTTATTATTATTTGATCTTTGAAATTAGCAACGGATAATGAAGTTGGACGTTGTCTGCTAAAAAATTCATCTATTAAACTATTTGATTTCATTCTTATATTATTTATTAATTTGGAATTAACATCTTTTGGACGGTCATCGGTTTGGGTCTGTACGAATGAATTACTTATTTTGTTATTATAATATAACTCATTAGAATTAGCAATGTTATCCGCATTTAAAAGGTTTTGATATTCTTTGTAATTATTATTATTATTATTGTTATTCTTAAGATTTGTTTTTTTCTGTTTTAAGTTTGTAGTTTGCGTTGCATTCTCTATTCGATATATACCCCATTTTAACATGTATAAATCAAGAAATCCTTGATATAAATCCAATGAAATTTCAGAATCATTATAATGCCTATCTACAAAATATATCCTACGTAATCGACAATTGGCACAGATTTCTAATCTCTGCGTTGCTATATACTGTGACTTAAATGCAATGTCTGTTAATGTTTTCAAATTTAATTCTATTTTATTCCAACCAGATTGAAGTTGAATCTTAGCACGACAAATAACAGGATCTCTGACGTTTCGACTTTTTTCCAAATCACCGGTATAAAATTGAAAATGATGACGTATATTATCCGCATCTATAACCTACAATTATTAATAATTATATCATATATATATATATATATATATATATATATAATTGCAATATATAATTTATAACAAAAATTATTTTCAAATTAACCTGAATTTGAAAACGACAATCTGCGTCAAAATTTTTTAATATAATAACAAGAACGGGTAATCCAACGTTCAAAAGTTGGGTTATATTAGGTGGACAGGATATTAATGTTTTTGAAATGTTCGATTGTTGAATATCCTGAATTTCTATAACCTGAATGAAAAAAGTATTAAGTAATCTATAAAGATGATTTAAAGAAAAAAAAAAAAAAAAAAAAAAGAGGAAAATATTTCTACAAAATAATATCAAAATAAATATATCGATAACGTACATTGTCGAGTAAATCGCTATCTAAAATCTTACGAATGCATCCTGTCTGCGATTGATGTTTACCCCAATATTCTAATGGTTTTTCATTGATACTGCAAAGAAGAGACAAGTACGCAGCAACCATTGAAGTTTCTTTACCATTTCTTATTTATACGGGTCCAAATAATTTTCAATTAAATAGAATGCGATCATTAGGCGGAACTATTTGTAAACGACGGGCTTTACACTTAAAAATTTGCAATTTTTCCTTCAGTTGTTTCTTTTGTCATTCGTATTAATCGTAGAATGCACATCTAACGTTAAAAAATGCAATTCTATTTATATTTTGTGTTTATAAAATAATTCATCGATCAATGGATGTAAACTTTCTCTCTCTACCTCTTCATTGATTTAAAAAAACTCTTTTGTAGAGACACGTCCATGAGAGTCCATTGACGTATTGCTGTATAGAATTATAATTTGTAATTTGATTTATAACTTGTATTTATTTTTTCATTATATTCGTGAGATCGATATCAATAGGATTTAATAATTCATTATCATAGTGTTATATTATCGAAGTTCGTGTAAGAAAAAAAAAAAAATTATTAATCGAACTATATGTTGTTTAAACTTGACTTTTTCTTTTCTTTTTTAGCTGATGCATAAAGGAACGAGCATAATATTGGAACCGATTATGAATTTAGAAATTGTTACTATGAATGATTATTCATCGGCCGTTCTTGCTGATCTTAATCAACGGAGATGTGAAATACAAAATGTTGACATGCGTGGACAAAATAAGGTTAATAACAATATTTATACATAGATATTAATAGATAACGTTAGTCATTACAAATTAATATTAATGCAATTTTCATGCAGATTATTACTGTTTATGCACCGTTGTCAAATTTGCTTGGATATTCTATGAGTTTAAGAAGTATAACATCTGGAAATTCAACATTTTCAATAGAATTTAGTCATTACAAGGCCATGGAGTCAATTTTTGAACAAGAAACTATTAAAAGGATAACTGGATTTTAAGACCCAATAGGTTAAGTATAATTTTCATCAATTATTTAACTATTATATATTATTAAAATACTGTTCAAGACTATTAATAGTAATAATCGATTAGATATATATATATATATATATATATATATATATATATATATATATTATCATTAGTATTTATGAAAGAATAGATAATTTCCAATAAATTTTCATAATTATTATTTTCAATTATTACACAATTTCTTCACTTGGTTATTGGCTTGGTCTAATCAAAATATATTGCAACATTATAAATGGTGCATTACAATCTTCATTTACAATTGTCAATTTCGCGGACCACTACACACGATGTTGGAAAGCACAATTAAAGGTGTTGTTGTTGTTGTTGTTGTTGTTATTAAACTAGAGCAATTTAAAGCGCACCATTAGAAAAAAATCTTTTTGGAACTTACCAGCACCACGAGTAGCAGTCGCATATAAATATATTAATATTGCTTAGGATCATGCAAAAAGGTCATACATAGTAAAATATATGTATATAATATATATATATATGTATGTATATATGTATATATATATATATATATTATATGTATGGAGGGATTAAATGTTATTTAGTATCGATTGAATTTTCTAACAATCATTGTTGCAAATACAAAATCTAAAAAATACAGAGCGGATGACATGAACAGCAGACTCTCTTTAATGTAATCTTTGTTTTTATCACGTGAAAAAACATTTGTACAATTAGTTATATAGTTCATGCGTGAAAATCAATCCGCTCTGAGAAATAATTATTTTCTCTTAATTCTTTTTCTTACAGGCTAATCTTTTTTTTCTTTCTTACATTCTAAACTTTCGGTCAGTATATAACTATAGTATAAAATCTGTTTGCTCTTGGTTTAATTATCTAATAATATAATAATAATATTATTATTATTATTAATAATAATAATAAAAAAAAAGACAAATATCTTATGCTCGTATTAATTCTAATTTATTTGCATTACTTAAAAAATTTAAATATATATATATATATATGTTTATATATATATATATATATATATGTATATATACTTATTATCACTTGTATGCAGATGCTTTCGTCTATTACACCTGCACACCGGTGCTCGCAATTAAAAGTATGACTTTCTTCTCTGTTTATTATTAACGCCTTCGAATAATGACAATAAGAAACCAACCACGTTTGCCTATCCTTTTATTCGCTTTGGGAAAGGTAGAAAATATATCTTCAAATCGATCGAGTAATTCAATTACAATATGATCGTTAATAATAATAATAATAATAATAATAGTAATAATATAATAATAATAATAATAATAATAATAATAATAATGATGATGAAGTCAAAATCGTTGTACCACTTTGAATCAAGTTAAAGCGGAATCAACGTGTCATAAAGATCAAGATCACAAAGCTTTACACCTATATATTTATATTCAAAATACGCTGTTCGATCAATCAATCAATCAATGCACAGTTTTAATTAACAATAGAAAATGATTTGTTTACACAATCCTCCCGCCCCCTCACCCCCCCTCGACAACTTATTTAATACGTATCCCTACGTACAAAAATACTCCCTTTTATTATTAACGATTTACCCAAAAGGAAAAAAAAACAATTTATTTCTCATTTTATCTATCAATTTACAGGCGCAAGCAACTCCGTAGATCTCTTTTCTTCCTTTGCACAAGAAAAAAAATAAAAATAAAAGAACGAACGATCTTCTTCCGCTGCTGCTCGACGGACAACAAGAAGAAGGAAACAAAAGGCGTGTTTTTATATATTGATGGTGGTAATGTGTGTGTATGTGTTGTATATGTGTATGTAGGTATGTGTGTGTGTGTGTGTGTGTGTGTATTGCACAAACGTACGAGAGAGAAAGATAAATAGCAACACAGCGCAACGCTAGAAGGATTGTTTTCTTCTGTTTTTACTTTATAGAAAGAGAGAGAGAGAGAAAAAAAGTAAACAAACCGATCCCAGTCAGAGGAGCCTTGGCGTGGGGACGGTCGAAGAGAAAAATACAACGTAGTATGTAATATTTTTTATTTATGGCAACTCGTGATGTCTGCGACGTAGAAAAACGTCTGAGATAAAAAGGGCAACGCCCCTCTCTCTTTCTCTCTCTCTCCCCCCACTTTTCTTTCTTTCTCTCTTAATTTCACTCATTCCATTGATGTTTACGATCGTCTTTCTATTTCTCCTCTAGATCTTGAGGCGAATAAATCACACGTACACACAAAGAGTTTCTCTTCGTCATCATCGTCATCCGTCGTCATCGTCATTGTCATCCTAAATAATGAATGGCAAGCGATATATATATATATATATATCAGGCGCGCCATAATTATTTCATTCAGGATCGTCCTCGTTCGATCCATATTCAATGACGTCATCTTGGCGTCACAAGCTTACGAGTTTCGGTGGATTGGCGTCTGGAGAGCTGAGATCTACGGCGGAGAGATTGTTCCTTTGTTGCGTCGAGCAGGATGGTATTAATGGTGTCGAAACTGGCGTCAAGCCTGTACCACCTTCCATCAGGGAATCAAAATTGAATGGTATACCACTGGTTGGTGTTGTTATCGGCATACCGGCTACGTCTAACGACGGTTTCATGAATGACGGTGTCTCGACCGTCTTGAAGGTCAATGTATCCGGTCTTTCCTTAGGCTCGCTAAAGATCGACAATGAGTTTGGTCTGTTGTTATTGTCAAATCCAACTGGCAATGAATTTGGTCTGCTAGGTCTTGCGGAGGTCAAGGTGTTATTGTCGCGCTTCGTAGGCTCGGCGAATTGATCCTCGAGGGGTATTTCCGGCTTTATCACAGGCTTCACGTCAGGCGGCGATGAGGAACGAAGTCGACAGACAGCTCTGTGAGCTTCGAGAATAAACTCGAGCTCGTCTTTGGCCTGCTGCAACTGATGAATTTCATCCTGCAAGCTTTGCTTCTTCTGTTCCAAGCCCTCTGTTTCCTGCGAACACGAGAAACAGGAATGATCCTCGTTTAAATTTTCCTCGTGGTAAGAGAATTTGTCTTATTATTATTATTATTATTATTATTATTATTATTATTATTATTATTATTATTGTTGTTGTTGTTTCTTTCTCTCTCACTTTTATTATTATCTTTCATTTATTTCATCGATCCCTTCCTTTCTCTTCCTTCCTTCCTTCCTTTCATTTATTTTATTTCTTATTGTATTTATGTATATATATTTTTTTCTTTTTTTTTTAAATAATCTCTTCGACTCTTTCGTAATACGATAGTAACAGTCACTACTATACGGTATCGCTACGAGGAAGTTGATCATAGCGGTAGGATGATGCTGTTACTATCTAAAATGTAAAAAACAAATATTTATACTGCTCTAATTTCAAGATGAAATTTTTAGATCGAGCCGCGCGAGTCTTAGCGTGTTTCGAAGGAAAGGGATCGATGATACACCACCTTCGTGAAAGTAATCAATATTACAGAATAATTGTTTTTAATAGAACTTTATTAACGCTTACTTCTAGCAGGGCATTGGTATGATCCATTCTTCGCTTGCGACACCTAGCAGCTGCCATTTTATTTCTCTCTCGTCTTATCTGTCGTCTCCTTTCTTCTTCGGGTGTCATACCAATTGTCCTAGTTGGTCTCCTACCACCCATATTGCGTTTCGTTGCCTGCTGTTGTTGTTGTTGCTGTTGTTGTTGCTGTTGCTGCTGTTGTTGTTGCTGCTGCTGCTGCTGGTGTTGCTGTTGCTGTGGTTGCTGTTGCTGTTGTTCTGGCTGCTGTGATAACGTCTGTTGACTATCGATCAGAGTACTTGCAGGATTGTTGTGATGTGTCGCCAGATTTTGTGTTTGAGCCGGAGTTGGTTGTGAAGGTTCGACCAAAGGTGGTACGAAACCAGCCTCTCGACTATGAGACCCTGTTTCGCTGGTAAGCTCGAGGAAGGTCTGTTCTATACTTCTCAGCGTTGTCGGTGTCAATGTTGGCGTAGTTCTTGTTGGTACACCACTGTGCAAGCCGTCGAGAGATACCAACTGTAAAGAAAAAAATAAAAAAAGTTATCCTTCATGTTGGTTAATCATTTTTTTTCGTTTTTCTTTTTTTTATTTTCTTATCACCTAATATATATACTTTTATATATATGTTATAATGTCGTTTATTATCTTTACATGCTACTTTCTTTTTTTTTTTTTTCCTTTCCAGTTTTTTTCTTTCTTTATAGACAGACACACATATAAAGATAGAAAAAAGAAGATCCTCCAAAAGTGGATCGGAAATGAAAAAAAGGAGAGAGAAAAAAAAAAGAAAAAAAAAAAAAAAGAAGAAGAAATCGTGGTCATACGGCAAACAGAGAAATCATCATCCTCGGCGTTAAACTATTATTATCGTTTCTTTCCCACTTCGGATATTATCAGCCGTGCCTATGATTCAACGAGCGAAGAGACGCACTGATAAAAATAATCGTGATCCAATAGCCGATAAGTTATCGCGCCACGTTAGTAGGATGATAGATCTCACAAAGCGTTATAGGGCTTGTGCGTTATAATATACACCGACACATCGACACCGAAATGTTCGTAGTATCATCGCTAAAATTACTCGACGAATCTCAGAAGCACACCTTATTACTACTAAGAACGAGAGACTCCAGACGAGAGAGACTTCTACGTACAATCTTTCTAATCTCTTCTTTTGGGCCTATCTAATCGCTTTCGTATTCTAAGATCTGCTTCTCTTAGTCTCTCTTTCTCTCTCTCTCTTTCTCTGTCTTTCTTTTCTTCTTATCCTCTTCCCCCGCTCTTTCTCTCTAACTTTTTATTTCTTTTTTTCTTTTTTTTTTTTGCTTAGTATATAGACCAAAGTTAACTTACAAGTTCTTTTTAGATGGAACATCGTTAATTTTGCAGATATTTCCTTCAATGAAGAAAAATTTACCAAGTGTTATAAGTTCTTCTAATGATATTTAAGATTTTCTTAATGATTTATAATTTATTATAGTTTTAAGAAATGATAAATTCTGCGACAGAGTAATAAATGTAAAATACACGTAAATCAACAAACATTCCACGAAGGAAGGAAGGAACGAACGAACCAACGAACGAAGAAAGGAAGGAACGAACGAACGAACGAACGAACGACAACATCGTAGGCGCTAAGTGTCATCGCTAAAATTACTCGACATATACCTCACTCACTCTCTCTTTCTCTCTCTCTCTCTCTCTCTCTCTCTCTCTCTCTCTTTCTCTCTCTCTCTCTCTATCTTTCTGGCAAATTCAAACTCGTGCCACCCACTATCAGGCGATACTACTATTCAATTAATGATTTACACAAATTTTAGCTGCTTGATATAGAAAAGATTTTTATATAATGCATCACGATGATAGTCTATAAACGCTTAACTGATAAGATTTCTTTTTTATTTATTTATTTATTTATTTATTTATCTTTTTTTTTATTTTCCAGAATTACATGTTCAATTTTAATGCGACACCCACACACGTTTTTGAGATATCCATTTTCTCATAATCGTTAGATCGTTAAAAAGTTTAAGCGCACGCTCGATTATTATTATTATTATTACTATTACTATTATTATCATTAATATTACTATTATTATTATTGCGAGATAATAAGGAAAGATAAATGTTATCAAATTTGATCTCTTTCAGATATTTCAGTTCTCTCTCATCTTTAATTTTACAAATGCTTACGATGGCATTTCTTCTTTTTTCCTTTTTTCTCTTTTCATTTTATTTCTCAGTAATACAATAAACTAATAAAGAATTTTAATCGTCGAGAATAAAATTAATTTATTAGGATATAAAATAAAAGTAAGAAAAAAGAAAAAAAAACGAACAACAATAATAAAAAATGGAGTAGTGGGGGAGGGAGTTAAGAGGAAAGAAACAGTAAGTAATCTTTCGAGAAAGTGTAAAGAAGAAAATAAATAATGGCACGGTAGCGCAAATATATAATTGGCGATACTATCGGAGAGAGAGAGAGAGAAAGAGAGAGAGAGAGAGAGAGAGAGAGAGAGAGAGAGAGAGAGAGAGAGAGAGAGAGAAAGAGAAAGAGACAGAGAGTGAGATGCATCGTTAAAATAACTCTGAAACGAGTTTCGTGTGAGCACGCGTACGATCACGTACGAAGGATAAAGAGAGAGAGAAAACCTCGAACGTACCGGAAATGACGAGCGTTCCTTTCGCGTTCGCGGTCTCTGCATTTGGACGACAAAAGATTCGAGCGCAGTAAAGTATGTTTGCGATATAAAAGAGAGAGAGAGAGAGAAGTGTATTGATGATAATAGTGGTGTGAGTAGACTACATAAGATTATGTGTATTCGATATATCGATAAAGCGATGGAATCGTTCGATTATCACACCGAGCAATTTAATGCATACACGTATGTATAATGCATACACATATATATATATAATTTTTTTTTTATCTTTATAAATGTTTCTAAATTTATTAATTTCGATCTAATTTTATATATATATATATACATGATAGCTATCTATCTTACCGCCTAAATATAATTTCTATAATTTCGAATTTTCATAATACGTCGATGTGGGGATCTTCATTTATGACGATCGAACATAACGTAAATAATACTTAAGAAATAAATTCTCTTTATCGTTTCTTTATCTATAACTTCGTAATATTTTAAAAGGCGTGGCAGCAGTGTGTGTATATGTCATATGTGTGTGTGTGTATGTATGCGTTTGTTGGTTGGTCGTCTTGTCAAAAAAAAACTTTTATATACTTTCGTTTATATTTAAAAAGATAAAAATGATACGATACACAAACACATACACATACACACATACACACATGCACACATGCGCACATGCACATGCACATGCACACATATAAACAAAGAAACAATGCAACGATGCTTGACGGTAGAAATAATTTCGCGGGCGGATGCGTCGACACTTTACTTTATTTCATTTTATTTCGTTTCATTTCATTTCATTTTATATTTATTCCTTCTCCCTCGCTCATTCTTTCATTCAATTTCTTGTTTTTTTTCTTTTCTTGTTTTTTTTTTTCCTTTTTCTTTTATTCTCCTTCCCCTCGTTCGCGTCTTTTTTATACTAAACACACCGTCGTTGGCATGCGAACGAGCCTTCCGTTTAGCGACGCGGGTTATTCGCTCGTTATTCTTCATCCTCCCCCACCCCCGCTCGTTTCTCTTCATGAGGACATGTGATGCACGGAAAGTGCATATGTATATGCGTATGCGTGTCTAAACACACACATATATATATATACATATATATATAGTGTAATATATGTATAAGAAAAGAACAAATACATATATTCACACGAAAGTGTATATTTAATGTGAATATATATATATATATATATATATATATATATATATGCATTTACACAGATGCAGATACATACAAAGAGTTGCAACGAACGCACGCGGTCGGTGATTCTATAAATAAATGCGTTTGCTGTTCTAATCTGCCCTGGGCTCTCTCGCGTTGCAAAGCAGACAAAGGGCGATATCAGCTACCAGAAAATCATTGCGAAACGTGCCCACAAAGAAATAAAGAGAGAGAAAGAGAAAGAAAGAAAGAGAGAGAAAGAGAGAGAGAGAGGGAGAGAGAGAGAGAGAGAGAGAGAGAGAGAGAGAGAGAGAGAGAAAGATAAATATTTACGACGACGTTTTGAAAGCGTGGAGAAAGAGACTTGCGATTCAATCGGAGAAAGTAAAGAAGGAGAAAGAGAAGGACGAAGAAGAGGAGGAGGGGGAAGGGTAAAAAGAGGAGGAGGGGAAGGGTAAAAAATGGAGGAGGAGGAAGGGTAAAAAGTGGAGGAGGAAGAGTAGGAGGAGGAGAATGGGTAGGAAGAGGAGAGGTAAAAGAGATAAGAACGAAGAAGAAAATGTAATAAACACACAAAAACACGTGGCACATGTACATATATACATACATATATATATGTATATGCACACATCGTAGGGTGCAAGGAGAAAAACTTATTTGAATAAAAAAAAAAAAAAAAAAAAATAAAAAAGGAAAAGAAAAGGAAAAAAAAAAGAGAGAAAATTAGAGTAGAAAAAAAATTGAGGAAAAGACAAGAAAAAAAAGGAACTCAAAGAATGAAAAGGGGAAAAAAAAATGGTTAAGATTAGGAATTTTTCAAATTTCTCTAAGCGATTCTTGTCCATTTCATCGGTACATCTCTTTAAAAGCTTCTTTAAAATATCGCACGTTCTACTTTACGTCAATGAAAGAGGTCGATAGGCGACCTTGCACGGAATTCCGATGAAAAAGTTATTGTTTCTTTCTCTTACCCTCACTCTCCCTCTCTCTCTCTTTCTTTCTTTCTCTCACTTTCTCTCACTCTTCACTCTCTCTCTCTCTCTCTCTCTCTCTCTCTCTCTCTCTCTCTCTCTCTCTCTCTCTCTCTCTTTCTCCTTCTCTTACACCTGAAGGAGACTTCGAGCGCTTCGACGAAAAAAAGGAAAAGAAGAAAGAAAGAAAGAAAGAAAGAAAGAAAGAGAGGAAAAATAAAATAAGACAATAACAAGAATGGAGGAAAAAAAAAGAGAAAACTAGAAGTACAATTGAACTATGAATAAGTATTTTGAATACACCAAACGATTACATGTCACGTGTAATTCTATTAATATACCTGTCACATTTTTTTTTCTTTGGATATAAAAAAGAGGATGAAAAGCGAAAAAAAAGAAAGAAGAAATCAATAAGAAACAAAATAAAAAGAAGCTTTATAAATCGAAAACGCGCTTAAAGAGGGATATGTGTGTATCCGAACGATAATGTTAAAGCATTCGTTTAAAGAGACACATTTCGTTCTATCGATTTAAAACTGAAATTAGAATTTTTTAAATATTAAAAAATAGGTGAGCTTAAAAAGAACGATAAGGACGAAGAGGAGAAGGAGGAGCAGGAGGAAGGATGTTTTTCATATATATATATAAAAAAAAAAAAAAAAAAAAAACCGCGTGCGGAATGTGTCGAAATATCGGCGACGATATATAAAAAAAAAA